GCTGGAACCGAATAATTAATAATCAGATCCTGAGTGAATAGCTAGTCATGGAGCCCACGGAAAGGACTCCGTTGGCGTCGGCTGCTCCCGATTCGTTTGACATCGAGCTGGATGATCTGAAAAAGTTGATGGCTAACCGAAAAGAAGATGTCTCGAAGTATTTACAAGAAAAATTCGGAGGGTTATCAGGGCTTTGCAAGCGCCTGAAGACATCCCCTACCAACGGTAAGTATATGCATGTCAGTGTTTTTGTGTCTTATCAGTATATTAGTATTTGAAACATTTGAAAACATGTTTTCTGACTTTTGCAGTTCAGCCTTGGATGTGTATAAGTCGGCTTATGCGCCATGGATGGAGACTTCGGGATCATTGTAATCAGTGGTTAGGAACACCGAGACATGATTGAGTGTCGTAAACAATGGCACTCATGCATCTACTCAATTTCTTTGCAAACTTAGTTTATCAGAATTCTCCATTTTATCTTTGACTCTACCCTCAACGTTCCACTCTTTCTTCTACCCCTTCTTGCACATTTGTAGGAAGACAACAACCAATATCGGCGCACGGAAGTGCATGTTTAATGGTTATACAAACTGAAAACTAAAACTGAGGTGATCAGGTTCAATGTGTCGATCAGCTTACCCAGCTAGAATTTGATTTGCATAATATTTATCTTGGAGGCCTTAAAATTCTCTAGACCAGAAAACTGTGTCCAACCTTAGTTACTGTATCAAAGCAGTGTAGCTAATGGCTACTAGGACAGGATCGATGACGCAAGACCCACGGAAAAATCGGAATATTCTCAGTTACTCCTAGATCAAAGATGTAAGATTGAGGGGAATTTAATCGAAAACTTCAAATTTATGAAGAAAACCAGTCGTATCAGTCCTGGAGAAATTTACTACCTTGCTGTCGGGATGGCCTGAAAGCATACACGCTTAAACTGATACAAGAGCTACAATGAACAACTGGCATAACTTCCTCTTCAGCCGAAATGCAGTAGACAGCGGTGAAGGTTCATTGAAGCCATACTGAGTTGAGGTGGCTTTTCTTTTCTTCTTAGTGTCGTATAACTCCTACAAACATCATCATTTTCACATGCCGAAGATGAAAATCCGAGACCTTCATAAACCGTTCAACAATTAGGCCGTAACAATACCACCGATTGTTGATTGAGGTCCTAGAAGAGTTAAAATTGTGTCCTCACTGCAGGATCCTACAATAAGACAACGTTCTGTAGGATTGAACTTGCGATGGTCTCCACTTCAAGCTTACGATAAAATAACGGTGCTAATTATATTTTCAGCAGACCAACTGGGAACTTTCGTTTGTTTTGGAGTTCTTCGTGGGCTGAATATCAAGTACACTGGATATTTTCATGCACATAATGCACTGGGGGTGTAGTACTCCAGAATATGCCACACTCCTAAACGCATTGCATCAAATTGCTCATTGTCGCATTGCCAAAATTCATAAAACCACATATTGCTCTACGTAGTGCCACTACCAGTTCCTTATTGGGTGTAAATGTGGGACTCCAGATAAGTAAAACTAGTTTTTACCCACCTGCCCCCTATCATAGTGAATTGAATTACATAAGAACCCTTCTTGGTAACATAATAAAATCTATAGATACCACTGAAGTAAACCTTTACCATTGTAGCTTTCGCGGCGAAACTTCAACGCTTTCGAATAAATGATTCAACACAATCCCATATTCTTTCATTACAGTTTAAAGTAATAGATTTAGGTCGCTAAGTCGGAGGCAATCCGAAATTCCACCGGTATATGAATGTGAACACGCGTTAGCTGCAGCCATGGTTTCGTCCTGGAATCCTGACCTGACCTGTGGCATCGTGCGTGACGAATCCATCACCAACACATCTGAACGCCTCTAGGTTTCCTGAAATCCTGTTTTTTTTACCAGCATCGATTTTGTCGCTGTTGTACATTACCATCGTCATCATCGAACAGGGAAATACAGTGAATTGAATCTCACTAATCGCTGCTAAACTCGCAGTGCAAACAACATTAGCGAGGATATGCAAGTTGGATAGGGATTTGACCTATTTTCAGGGATGGAGGGAAAAAGTGAATATCTTTGGTCAATAAAATACACAATCTGTGTGTTTATCATACACAGGTATACACTGGTCTGCATTCGGAATGGAATATCAAGTGTCTACTGCCGATCCAAAACAATGCTTTATTTATATCATAGGTTGATTTTACCAATATTTTCAATTGCATCAGGAGATATCCCACTTATTGTTGGTGAATGAGAAACTAAGGGAAAATGTTTTATCTCATTGAGTTAAGGACATGTAAATGTATACTTGTGTTCTGGTTTTTATTTTCGATACCGTTTGGCATAAGTTCAGTTCAGTTCAGTTCAGTTTGAACAACCATTAACCATGCACTATCGTGCACCGGTTTTGGTTGGTATCTTTCGGCCACCCATTTGGATGAACATTAGGAGAAAGACAGGAAAGGTAGAAAGTAGGATCGAAGAGAAAATTGAAGCGTTCAGTGGGGTAATGAAGCAGAGAAATGGAGAAGATGCACGTACGCCACTGTTGACGACACCCAGCTATATCACTCAATGTATCTAACCATCGGGTACGACCATCCCGAGGCCCCCAGCCAGGAAGCTTAAAGGTACCTATGTGACCCCGACTCCTGGTCAGGGTTATCATACCCTTATGCCAAGTCTTAGCTTGACCACCCTGGGCTTTATTCCACCCACTACCTGCCTCGGCAAACATCGCTCGACGTGGAAACCTACCTGGTGACATGCGTAACACATGCCCCTACCAACTTAATCTATGGAGGT